GAAGAGTGTTGAATATACCCTGGACTGCTAGGAGAACAAACAGGTTTGTCCTGGAGAAGGTGAATCTGGAATGCTCCTTGGAGTCAAGGATCCTGAAGCTTCATCTCACATACTTTGGGCATGTTGCAAGGAGGGACTGGTGTTTGGAGAGAGAAGGACATCATGTTTGGGGAAGTGGATGGATGGTGCAGAAGAGGAAGACTGTCAATGAGATGGATCGATTTTGTGATTGGGGTGGTGGGAGTGAGTGTGTCTGAGAAGATGAGGTTGGCTCAGGATAGAGCAGGGTTTAGGGCTATTGTATACAGGGTCGCTATGAGTCACAAGCGACTTGATGGCATGTATAACAACATTCAAATATGTTGAAATGGGCCCTGTGCCTCAGCTAAGCCCTGCATTGCACTATGCCCCCGCACTGCAAATCCAGACAACCAAATGGTACTTTGAGGAACAAACTGCTGTGAAACCTGACCACGTGGGATCCCTAACTCAGACAACGGAGATACTGGGCCACTTGACAGAGGTGAGAAGCCACTTCCAGAAAGAAGGGAACAATAGGCTTCCTCTGTCTTCACTCAGGTACTTTGGGGAACAAACTGCTATAAGGCCTGAGTACATGGGATCCCTAACTCAGGTAGCAAGGAGGTCTTGTGCCCCTTGATGGAACTGAGAAGGCAATTCCAGAAGGGAGCAATATGCTTCTTCTGTGCTCACTTAGGTACTTTGGGGAACAAACTGCTGTGAGGCCTGACCATGTGGGATCACTAACTCAGGCAACAGGAAGGTCCTGGGCACCTCAACGGAGTTTAGAAGCCATTTCCAGAAGGATATAATGGACTTCCTCCACGCTCAGGTACTTTGAGGAACAAACTGCTGTGAGGCCTGACAACGTGGGATCCCTCCCTCAGGCACCAGGGAGGTCCTGGGCCCCACAACAGATATGAGAAGCCACTTTCAGAAGGGAACAATGGGCTTCCTCTGTGCTCACTCAGGTACTTTGGGGAACAAACTTCTGTGAGGCCTGACCACACAAGA